CATTGATTTCCTGAAATATTTTTTTGGCTTCATTTTGTTGGTTTTTAAGTTTCTCTTCAATTCCATTCATCTTATTTGCAACCCATATTCTGAATTCCATTTCTGGCATTTTGGCAATTTTCTTGTGGGTGGAGTCCACTGCTATAGCTCCACTGAGTTCCCCTGGGATCGTTGAGCTATTTTGTTTTTTCCTGTTGCCAGGGTTCTTTTGTTGGTTTCTTCTCATCTGGCCCTGGGTTAATGGGATTGCAGAGCACCTGTTCTCCTTTGCTGGGGACTCTTTCGAACCAAGTCCGGGAGTGATGGCTGCTCAGGGTTGGGGGGGTCCTGAGTGAAGTGTTGGACCTTGGGGAGGTTCTGCCAGCCTAGTGATAGTGGTGGGGACCCAGTAGTCGGGTCTCGGGGTCCATGCACAATTCTGGAGTCTCAGGGGTGGAGTGGTAGGCCTGGCAGGGGCCCTGGAGCCACAGGCGCAGAGCCTCAGACTCAGGCACAACAAGAGCTTCTGAGTTGGCTCTGGGGATTTTGGGGACAGAGCTGCCCATATGGGGGCTGATCCACCAGTGTGGGGACTCCTGATGCCCACTCATGCAGTCTCAACAGCCCAGGGTCTATGTAGGCAAGCCCACACTGCCGTTCAGCCAGGTTCTCCCTCCACACCTAGGAGCCACTGAGGCAGTAGCCCCAGTCTTCCCAAGTGGTGACTGTGGCATCTGGGGCTCCTCCTCTGTTCGGCTCCCACGCTGGGGAGGAGGTGTGCTCAGCCCCCAGTCACAGGGCACGGCACAGGGTAGCATCTATTGCCTCCCCAGCTTGGTGGCGGTGATGCAAAGGCTATTGCTGGAAGGTTGGGTCCTGTGCAGACCTGCCTCTGTGCACCCAGAGTGATCAGGATGATGTCAGTTGCAGAAACCTGGGATTGGCAGACACCAGATCTCTGCTGCACCTGCTTTCTGGTGCAGTGTCTCTGCACAGACTCTGATCAGCTCAGAAGTCTACAGTGGAGGAGGAAGACCTCTCACAGATCGAGTTGCCTGTAACTTTTGTTTCCCTCCTAAAAAGCAGTGTCCCCTCAGGTTGCTTCTACCGTGCTGTCCTCCCTTCTTCCGATCAGTGTAAATTGTACTGGGACCCCCAGCTTAATCTCCAAGATGGTGGGTGGTGCTTGTGAGTAACAATTGGCCAAATTGCCCTATTTGACTGAGTTGGTGGATGCTGTAAAGACCTATAGAGTTGTTCTACCTATCTGTCAGTGGTTGATACTTGCAGGAGAAAGCCAACTGCAGAGATGTTCTTTTGTGTTTGTAATAAGCTCCTCTTGCCTTGCCCCTGCCCTTGGGCACTTTAGCAGGGGCCCTTGGTTGCTTTGTCCCAGCGGGCTGGGATCTTCCCTGCCTGGGGACCCTCCCTGGTCCGTCAGCACAGCTTTGAGCCTCATGGTGGTTTCAGTGTTGTCATCCTGGCCCCTAGGACGAGTGTCAATGCTGGGTCTCCAAACCAGGAAGGCTGCTTGTGAGTGAGGGGCTGCAATTCGCAGATTGGCTGAGGGGAGTGAGCTCCACCCCTCTTGCCTTGTCCCTGCCCTCAGGTGCCTGAATGGTGCTACCCTTGGTTGTTATTGTGCCTCAGGCTCGGATCTTCCCTGCCAGACCACCCTAGTCTGACAGCATGGCTTTCCTATGTGTGTGGGGGGATGGGTGCTTTCCCAGATCGCTGTGTCTCAGACCCCCACAGTAGTCTCCCATCAGTTCCACCCACGTGGATTTCCTCGCCTCCTGATTCCAGCTCCCAAACCTCCCCACTGTGTTCCCCAGCAACCCACTCGAGTCCTGGGGGCACAGGATCCAGCCTCCGTGTCTGACCCAGTGGTGTGTGTCTCTGTGAAACACTGGTAGGTAGGGAGCTCCCAGATCGGGCACACAGGGTCTCCTGCAGGTCCTCAAAGGGAAAGGCGTGGGCCCCAATCTCTGTGGAAACCTCAGTCTGCAGGATGTGCCGGCAGGGGAGAGGCAACTTCTTGCCAAATCCTTGGCTCAAACTGCACTCTCAGCTGTAGTGGGTTGGGGAGGGGTGGCAAGAAATGAGTCTGAATGGAAGAAAGCTGGCTCTCCAGCCTCTTGGGTCACTCTCCTTGGAGGGGAGCCTGCACGGAATGTCCAAGCTCTGGGGTCATGCAAGTTCTCCCCACAATTGGTTGCCACGGTGCTTGGGCTTGTGGGGGTGGAAAAGCTTCCTAGTAACTTGGTAGCCTGCTGATCACCGAATGCTTGTGAGTGGGAGAAAGGGATACCCACCTCCGCCTTACCCCTTCACTGGGCTCTGAGCCTGTCTGGGTTTGGTCCTCATCATTATCTTTATTTCCTTTATCCTCTTCTTTCTCTGCTTCAAAATTTTCCTCTGTGAGGTCCCTGGCAGGCTCCGGCACTTCTCTTACTGACCTTCACCTGAGCTGAGTCCCCTCTCTTCTCTCCTTTATCTGAAACCCTTCTTTCCCACTCGGCCTGTCCAGCAAGCGATGTCTCTAGTCAGCCATCTTGCCCCTCTATTTCCACATCAGTAGTTTTCAACCAGGGTGATTTTGTTCTCCACAGGGCAATGTGGGGACATTTTTGGTTCTCACAACTTGGGGATGGTTACTATTGGTGTCTAGCATTAATAGGGTGCTGCTAAACATCCTATGATACACAGTACACACCTCTCCCTAGCTCCCAGCAAAGACTTATCCATCCCAAAGTGTTAGTAGTACTGAAGTTGAGAAACCTGCTGAATAGTACTGTATTCCATTGTATTAATATATCAAAAACATATTAGTCCTTTTACTATTGAGGGAAACTTGGATTATTTCTAGTTTTTAGTGTTATAAAAAACAGTTATGAATATACATGAACATCTTTTTTGTTCCACACTTATCCACTTATCAGTTATGTACCTATGAGAGCAATTCCTGGTCACAGGGCATGTATGTGTGTTCAGCTTTAGTAGATGATTCCAAACCATTTTCCAAAGTGGTTATATCCGTTTACACTATTACCAGCAATGTGTTCCAGTTGCTCTGTGTCCTCACCAATACTTGGAATTGTCATTTTTGTAATTTTAGCTAACGTGAAAGGTGTGTAATGTTATCTCATGCCTTCAATCAGTACCTCTTCCCTTCTCTTGAAAGGTAAATGGCAGGCTAATCCCTCTGTGATTCTCCCTATGTACATGTTAATAAAATGTATATGCCTTTTCTCCACAAAAAAGGTAGGTGGCATTTTCCTGATAACTAGTGAGATTGAGCACGTTTCATATGGCAATTAACCATCTTTTAAAAAGAGTAATTTTGATTTACAAAAAGTTGAGAAGATAGTACCCACATCCCCCCTCACCCAATTTCTCCTGTTATTAATACTAACATGTTACATTAGTATGCTTCATTCATTACAAATGATGAACCAATGATACATTATTATTAACTGAAGTTTATAGTTTATTCACATTTCCTTAGTTTTTACCTAATGTTCTTTCTCTTTTTCAGAATCCCATCTAGTATACCACATTAAACTTAATTGTCACGTCTCTTCAGGCTCCTCTTGGCTGTGACAGTTTCTCACATTTTTCTTGTTTTTGGAGATCTTGGCAGTTTTTTTTTTTTTTCTTGTTCTCAGATATTGATTCTTTTTTTTTTTTTTTTATTATTCCAGGGTATTGTGAGGGTACAAACATTATAGTTACACTTTATGTCTTTGCCTCACCCAAATGCGGGTTAAAGGCATGCCCTTCCCTCCCTTTAGTGCTCCCCGTGTCCTTTAGTTGTAGATTTGCCCCCCCATCCCCCTAATCCCTAGAGAGTATTTCTGTCATGTGATCAGTTTTGAGGAGTGCTGGTCAAGTATATTGTAGGATGCCACTGTATTTGAATTTGTCTAATGTTTTTCCTCAAGATTTGACTGAGAAACCTATAACCATAGGTTTTTGAGAGGAACTGTATTTTTTTAAATATACCATTAGCATTGAATAGCCAATATATTACTTAGAATTTTTGCATCTATTAATATGTTTTTAAGTGAAATGGGTCTATAATCTTTTTCATGTATTTCCTTTAATGGCTTAAGGAACAAGGTTATACTAGTCTCTTTAAATAAGTTGGGACAATTTTCTATTTTCTCTTTTCTGTCACAACTTATGATGGGTATGTTTCAGTTCCCTAAAGTTTAGTAAAATTCACTTGTATAAAAAACTCTTTGGACTCAGGCATTATAAAAGTGTCCTTGGCGATTATAAGTTAAAAGTAATCTTGTTAAACAAAGGGAAGGAGAAGATTAGAAGGTCAAAAGTGGAGTTGCTAGGATGACACCAGCGGGCAAGCAAAGAAGATGGCTCTCTGATTGAAAGAAAATAGATGGTGAAGTAGGTGAAAAGCCAGGCGAGAGTTAATGTTATTGTGCCAAAGGAGAAAGCGTACGGTTTCAAGAAAGGGATTGGTCAACATTGTCAAATAGTACAGAGGGATCATATGAGAAAAAGGATAAGATCATGTCAATCCATTGGTTTTGGCATGTGACATTAGCAAAAGCAACTGACAAAAACACCTGCTCACAGAGTTGTGTACCAGGTCTCAACGAGAAGTTCTGTAACTTCTTTTTTTCTTCTCTTCACAGAATCCAAAAGATATGTTGACCAGGTATGAGTTCCTGGGGCTCTCTTATGGGGATCTGAGTGGGGAAATAGGGCCTGGGCTCCATAGATCAATCTGGGTGCACACTGAGGAGTCTGCAGAGGAAATATTATACTGATCACTTTTGTGAGGAGGAATGGGAACAAAAGTGATCTGAGCTTTGGGCTTGGAACTTTTTGGTTGGGAATTGGGGGTCTTGGCTGCCCTGGTTGTCTTCTAAGAAGAGCTATACTTTCTTAGGAGTGAGATGCAGGATGTGAACTGTTCCCTTGAAGTTCCAAAGGTGAAGACAGTGTGCCAGCTACCAATGATGAAGGAAATGCTGAAGCGATACCAAGGTGAGCAGAATTTCTAGGACTTGGGGCTCCCTAGAAATCTTTCAAATAAGAGAATAAACAGAGACGTCTGGAAAGGAAAGAGGAAACAGAGCCTGCAGCTAATAAGAGTGTCAGGAAAAATGTTAATAGTAAATGCATATATGCTTCATTCAAGAAACATTTATTTAATACACATTGTGTATTACAAGGTACTAGTGATACAAAAAGAGAGACCTGTTCTCTTCTTTCTAGGAGTTCACAAGCAAATTGAAGAGACAGACACATA